AGCCCCAAGTACTGTACTGAAGAAGCTTGATTCCATCTATCACTCGGCCTTAAGATTTACATTGAACTGCCCATATAGGACTCACCACTGTGATCTCTACATTGGGTCAAACTTAACATCTCTTAATGTTCGACGGCTTGTGCACCAGATCTTATTTATTCACGATGTACTTACAAAAAAATCCGCAGACTACCTGCTGGATCTCCTCTCTGTTTCAAAAAACAAATTTGACCTCAGGTCTTCGCTCATTTACCAGCTTCACATTCCCTATTGCTGTACAAAAACTGGAGGAAGGGCCTTTGCTATTGATGCCCCCAGAGTTTGGAATGCTATTGCCAATAAACTGCAACTTGAATCGCTACCAATGAGATCTTCTCTCAAAACTGCTCTAGAGGAGTTGTACACCCCTAGCTGCCAATGCTATTCATTGGCGTAAAAAAAATGTTTCTCTCCGGATGACGCTGCAAAGTATTATCTGTATTTTGATTTAGCGTGCTGATCTTAAAGGTGCATTGAAAAATTTGATACTCCGACCGATGCTTCTGTTGTTGTGGAGTAACTCATGCAGCCAGCTATGGCTCTAGGGTTTGGTGTTACATGTTATTTATGTAGTTTACTGTAAAAATACGGTCACAGTCCTTGTGATCACTGTTACGTTGCAATTATGGCTTCATTTTTTGGTGATTTGGAAAAGTTTTTTGGTTTGGACATGTTTGTTTTGTTGTAGTGCGGAGTTAGACTGATAGCCTTAATCTAAGTTTTTGTGGTTGGTGTTGTTTGACTTGCATCCCACTTGGATTTTTTCCACACAGCGTTGGTGTACGGTGCTTTTTTCAGGAATATTTTTGCTGTTATTTTTTCAATGGATTTTCTGTTTGCACAGTCACATAGTCACTTTAAGATGTTTTTCTTGTTCGTATTTTGTTTTTTTGTTTGTTGTGGTTGCACCCGATTCAAGAGCCGGATGGCTCACAGGGATATACCAAAATAAACTGAACCGAAACTGAACTGGTAAATCTGATGGTTGGGTGTATGGAATTGATGTGGTCGAGGAATTGGTCTAGAGCAGGCCGGCCATGTGTTCATTGGAGCGCTGTCTTTCCGACAGTTCTGTTTTTTCACCTGAGGAAGGCTACTTGTTATTATTATTATGTATTATTGTGTTATTTTATTTTATCAATTTATTATTTTATTCTCATTCTACGTGACTTTACCGAAAGAACCAAAGAAGAAGGCTACTTGTGTTGTGACCGAAACGTCGTGAGAATTTTATTTCATTATGTCTTATTTTTATTATTTTATTATTTCTCTTCTACGTGACTTTACCGAAAGAACCAAGAAGATATGTTTTTTATGGTTTTGCACCTTGTTAGCTTGAACAAGGGTCATTGAACCAGAACAAAATGGTGCAAAATTGTGTTCTTGCCTAGGCAGGGCCTACAGAACTGCATTTTTAAGATGATGGTGAAATATGTTGCACTGAGTACCCTAAAACACATACTTGAGTATTTTTTTAGGTGAATGACATATCCCACATGCAATGCCACAAGAACACTACTCGGTCTCTGAATCTAAGTCAGACGGTTTCTTTTGAGTAGATTTTTTTCGACTCGAAAACGAAACAGAGTGGTTGAATGCGTCACGGATTCTAAGTTGAGTGTTAACCACGCCTGCTACGCGTAAAACGCAACTAAATAAAGGCCGACGCTTCACCACGCTCGATGCTGTGTGCTCATGTATGCGGGTAGCAGCCTCTGCCCTATCTTCTGCGTTTGTCTGTAAAGATGAATGAGATGTTAAGGAAATAAATTATCTCCTTTCACCACCTGGATGCACGGTTGGATGGGCAGTGAGTGCTTCCTGGGTGTGCCGTCTTCACCTTGGATGGAGATGACAATTGTAAATCATATCTTACACTTATAAATGACTCATATAAACAACCGTAGAGGTTGATGTGGTGGTGGTGCCCAGCATCATGGCACACGTGTGGTGTGCCACAGATCAAGCTAAGAAATGCAATATCTGTTATTCACATACTCTCTCAGCTGTGACCCTGTCGACCCACTTCATCACGGATAAGAGGCATCTAATGACATTTATGATGTCAGTTTATGCAGAACCACCCATATATTCATGCATGTAAACATCTGATTTTGTTTTCAAATGATGAGGAGAAAGCCCACTGAACATCCAAGGTTGGCATGTGGTTGGAACCGTTAGACCAACGTTGGTCCAACGTTCTGTGTTTACTGGAAAACTTATACTCAAGATTTAAATGTAATTTCTTTCAACTACTCAATTTATAATTACTAAGCTTGTTAAGGGCACTAGTTCTATTTTCAATGTATTGGATTCAGGGATGAGAATGAGACGTTAATAAGGGTAAAGCTATTGTGTAGATGTTTCTGTATTGATGCTTGTGGCTAACATTACGTGAATCTCTAAAAAATATATTCTTGAATTCTGCCACGAAGCAGGGTGATAAACGGTGTAATGTTGTTGCCGTAGGGTCAGCCTCCTTTACCAGTTGATTTGTTTCTATAAACTGTTTTATGAGTGGGGTTTTTTTAGATGCTAGTCGAGAAGCCGTTGCTCTGCAACGCATTAACAGGAGCACAAATTTTAAAGTTAGATAAAAAAAATTCCGAACCGTGCCTGCCAGTCTTCCGAAATTATTACTCCCACCTCTTCCAGTGTCGTTATCCATGATATGTCTTCCGAACTTTACCTTCCGCCGTCTCAGTTCAAATCAATGTTTGTTACACGGAAAATCCTGTTCATCCAGTTAGTTACCCAATTGGTTTTAGTTGCAACGGTCCGGCAGCCACGAACAAACACATAATTATTGTTGGGTTTGAGAGGAGCCCAGCCAGCAGCCAGCCAGGAAACTCGATGAATTGATTATTTGTAATTGTAGTATAATAGATTGGAATATAATTGCGTTTAAAAAATATTGTGAGAAAAAACGCCAATGCTCTCAAGATTATATATATATATTTATAACACAGCATATACGCACCTAGAATCTTGGGTTCTGGATTGTGAGAAGCTATGGTTGAGATGTGATCGTATGTCTCTAATTGGCATAAACAAGGCCCCAGGTATACTCAGCCATCATGGCCCATATGAGGAGCTGTCCATCAGAATGTATATATCGGACTTCACAAGATAAACACAACGTTAAGGGGCCGTGACAAACCCCTTAACTCCAAGCCACAAAACGGAGCTTGGACTGCTTCACCTCATCTCAGTCACCCAAATCCAGGAGAGAGGAGGTCAAATTGTTCAGCTCTTATTAGAGGCAGGCAATGTTTTACCGCTGGGATAATTCCGTGGTCAGGATTGATTCAGCGTAGACTCTAAAACAGTACGGTGGGTGGGAAGCTGTCCTTCAGCAAAAGCAGCTTCATCTTGTAGCCACGGTATGACGGTCACCAGTGACATTTTTTCTTATTCGTCATCCTCTGATATCCATGCAAATTGGCAAGAAACTCGGTTCCACGGGTCACTACGAATAGGATTTGCGAGTATAAAGAGCCATTTCAATGCACCATCGTGATTCGTGTTTTAGCGTTTTTATGCATCACATTCATACATTGTATTTTAACAGTGCACGCGATTTGATTCTCGCATAGACAAGCACACGGCGTGTCAAACATAGCAGCAGCTATCGCGCGCCGCGTCTCGGCACAATGTCACCGGTGAACATTCAACTATTATTGAGATTACGCTGCCAATGATTACAATGACGCCCTTTAGTGACCGCCCTCCCCCACCAACTTCGACGAATTCCCCGTTCCGAGTCACGGGCCAAGAAATGAAACAGCCTGCAAGCCGCTGGTGTTGTAGCCTCGCTGTCAGAACACGACTCCGGCGCTGCGAACCCAGACATCTGAGCTTGGCCACGGCTAAACATAAGGGGCGAGTGATACGTGAACCTCCCCTAGGCCCCTGCTATCACCAACTCGCACTGACCAATGTGGTAAATTGTGGTGGTGGTGGTGGAAAGAGAAAAACAATATTCGTGACCAACACGGCGTGAGGAGATTGTCACCCAGTAGTGGATCGGCAAAAAAAACTGTAAACAAGTTCGTGTGATTTATATATATGTATCGCACTGACTGTGCTGACTTCACAATAAACAGGGACCTCAACATTTTTATTCCTGAAAATCCCTCCCTGGCTAATGAAAATCGCCACCATCTTGAGGGCGAATGGCCAGCCGCAATATCGCAGAGTGCGTCGTTTGGCTTCAGAACGACCGCACGCACTTTGGTTAATTCCCTGCAGAAATTATGATGAGAAGGGTGACTCCGACGTGAATTCTCATCTTAATGACAAACGGTAGCTCTCAGATGCAACGCTGCCGCCGGCTGGAGGCTTGCGCAGCTGCCAAACTCTGCCCCACCCTTTCACGTTTCCTATTTACCCACTGCCCAAACTTGTCTTGTCCGTGACACGCAACGTTACGTCTAAATGTACCGCAGCCCACCGTGAGCGCTCATACCTTTCATTTAAAGCTCACGTCGCTATTTGGCAGGGCGCTGGTTAAGACAAAGGAGGCGGACTTTGCATGTACATACGAAAAAGAAAACAACTAAAATCATTACAGTCGAATAATAAATAACGTATCCGCCAAGTTGGAAGCGTATTTTCCGTTTGACTTGCCAACGTTTAACGCCACATTTGTGTGCGTCAACACCCGTTTGATTGTTTGACTCATGATGTCCACTTGCTAATGGTAATTTTGTTTTTGGCCGAATGCAGCAATGCGCCCAACGCCCACAAAATTCTGGAGACGCAAAAAAAACCCAACCCAGCCACACGCATGGAAGCCACGAGGAGGGAAGGAGGGAGTGACCGCCCCAGTGCTACCACCACCACGCATCCAATCCCCTAACACCGAGCCTGGTGGGTGGGGGAAGGGGCCCTTTGTAAACAAGTGCGATGGGTCTCCTCCTCCTCCTCCCATCGTACTCCCCCATCATCATCATCACCATCGCCCATTCCTGTCGTGCCGGGCAGGACCCTGCTGCCGCTGCTGCCGCTGCAGTCCGCGAGTGTGCGGCGATGCGCAGTTGTCACGCCCCGACGTGACGCATGAAGCCCCATCCCATCCCCTCCCCATTTCTCTGCCGCAAGCCGTGAGCTTTGGGCGTTGGTCTCGCTCCATCTCCACTTGCGAAGTGCCTCCTCACGTCTCCGTCTTCTCTCTCTCTCTCCCTCTCCATCAGTGCCGGTCCCGCCCGGCTCTCTGCTCGTTCGACCCGCCGGGAGAAAGGGGTTTCACTTCCCCTTCTTCTTAACAATTCGTCGTAGCTTCATCTCCTCGTTCTCCCCCAACATCTCTTGCTCTGCCGTGAGCGTGCAAGTAAGTGCGCAACTGTCACTCGGACACACACGGAAGGTGGCCGCTGAGCTGTGTTGGAGAGAGAGAGATAGAGGAGAGGAGGGGGAAGGAAAAACAAACTTTTAAAGTGTTGGGATTTTTGTTGTCGTCCTGGGAGTGAAAAATGCAGCCTCCTCCTCGCCTGCATCAGCGACGGCAGTGCCCGTTAGCCGCCGGAGTCGGAGCAGCAGCAGAGAGGCGCGGGGAACGCGCCCTGGCAACACGAGCAGACAGAATCCGATACTTTTACACAACACAGGAATAGACCGCGTTTATTCGTTTATCTACGGGCCGAATATTCGGTGTGACGCTCTGTATAAAAGTGTAAGTTCTCTTCTTTTGTTGTTGCTTTGCGAAACGGAAAACGAGCGGTTTGTTTTTGGTTGTTGTTTGCTCGTTACAAACATTCTTTCAATTGCAGATGCGCTGTCATATACGAAAATAAAACAAATAGCAAGGCTCGGGAGGAGAGGGAGAGAGAAAAAAAAAACTTCTTTTTGCAGAGTTCCGTTATATTTGTTCGCACAGTACAATTGAACGAGAACGGCATCGGTGCCAAATGTGTTCGGTGTGCGGCAGAGCGAGAGTGGTGTTGTGGGTGGTGGTGCTGTCGTGCTGACCACCAGGAGTGGCCACTGTCAAATGTGTTCGGTGTGGGGCAGAGCGAGAGTGGTGTTGTGGTGTTGGTGGTGGTGGTGCTGTCGTGCTGACCACCAGGAGTGGCCACTGTCAAATGTGTTCGGTGTGGGGCAGAGCGAGAGTGGTGTTGTGGGTGGTGGTGATGGTGCTGTCGTGCTGACCGCCAGGAGTGGCCACTGCGAGTGGTCAGCCCTCCAGGGCTCTCACCTCCTCGCGTGGTTTGTTCGAGGCCGCTATTTCGGGTGCCAATTTTCGAACGTTACATTCCATGCATAGACATTCGGTCGCGTATTGCATTGCAGTGTTTGCTGTTTCGTTGTTAGTGTGTTTTATTTGTTGTCCTTCCAACTACCCCGCCCACCCCCCGGCTCCTCCGATGAGCACGGTTGTACGGTGTGTATGTTGAACTTCTTTCGCACCGTACGTAGTCAACCGTGCTAAATCGGAGGTGCGGGGGAAGGACAATAAACTAGACACAAAAAGCAAATTAGCTCTATGTTGGCTACGTGTGGTGCGAACTAGGTTCAACATACATTACACGTGTTGGACGAGGGCGTGTGCGTGGTGCGTGTGTGTAATTAATAAGAAAGTGACAGATGTGTGTTCCGCTCATAACAAGCACGTTCGGTTGTGCAAAGGTGCTTCACATGGCACGGGAAGTGGTGAATGGCAAATTGTGTTCGCGAATTGCGTTGTCAGCAAGGACGCTCAGCGCAACAACAACAACAACAGAAAAGCCCTCGAGTGTGCGAAAGACACTGACCCACGACACACGCCACCTATTCAAACAGAATGACCCAGATGGCGGTGGGGTGGGGAGGTCCTTGTGCGTGGTGGAGCAATGCGAAACGTGCGGCTGGATAGTTGGGCAGATGCTGCTGCTACTGCTTGCTGCTACTGCGCTTCGGGTGGTATTTATAAACGCCCGCTTGGGGCATCGCCTTTTCTGGGACGTGACATCATTGTTGGGCCGGTCGAGAATCGTGTTACCTATGTTTAAGCAATGGGGGGGGGGGGGGGGGGGGGTAAGGGTGTTACAACAAACAGAAATGCTGCTATAGTGACCGAGCCAAATCAACTGTTAGAATAGTAATCATCAACACAATATGAATGTGCTGGGGGTGGTGGAAATGACGCACGTGCGCCGTGAGCCGCGACAAATGAGATGGCGAAAGAAGGTAAACAAAAACGTCGCTGTCTAACGTGGAAGATTGTGAGGCCGGATGAACCCCCCGCGTTTGCAAATGAACAAATCCCAGCGACGGATGACACGCTTCCGAATAAAAGGCGGAATCATCGCCGACTCGCTGAACCTTCGAGTGCGGTAAGTTGTCGTCGGTTCCCCGCTGCGGAATCAATCGAGATGCTCTCTTTGCAGGTGACCATCGGGCAAGTATGTTCCTGCTACTTTTGTTCGTGATCTTCCTGCACATCGTGCCCATTGTGCTGCTCTTCGTCTCAACCATCGACAGCGTGAGCACATTTTCTGCTGATAGTCGCTTTTGTTAATCCCGCATCCTCCCCCCCCCCCCCCCCGTTATCCTGAACAAGTGGAATGGGCATTCTTTTTTTGTCTTGCAGTGTGATCTTTTGAATATTTGCAGCCCGTTCGGTTGTGGTGGCGGTGGTGTTTTGATTCACAACTGCTTTTGTATCTGTGTGTGTGTTTTTTCAGTCATGGTGGGTTGTGGAGAGCAACGTCACAGATCTGTGGTATTCTTGCCATATTTATAAAGAAGAATGGAAGTGCAATGATATTAATTACAAGAACGAAGATGCAGGTAAACCATTCTTTATTACCGTCGTTAAGGCATCGTCAAAGGCGCGCAGCACGATTAGCGTTTGTAATATTACATTCCGCCATGCTATGCTAATTGAATACTCTATCTGTGTCGATCCATATAGTGAGATAAAAATGTGTCAAATTATATCATGTACAATATTGCATATATTACCTTCAGGATATATTTTAAGACTCGCCATGTGGTTTAACCGATTTCATTGTTTGACCCTCTGGGATTGACATTCCTAATTCATTTAGAGGTCCTCTGACCTCGCCTTCGCGATTAAAATAAGAATTGGCCTGAATGAGAAAAATCTATCTGAATGAATAAATAACGGCAGGATGTGCATGGGTTAAACCATTGTCAATTCTGGTATTGAACTGGGTGATGGGTGAGTGAAGGGGTGTGTTTCTGAATGCGTAGCTGGTCGTGTGGTTTTAAAATAGCCAAACTATATTTGGGAACTACCAGAGTCAGCTAAATACCTCGACGCTCTTTTGCGCTACGTTCATGCCAGCACTATCTTAGCTCTTACTTGTGATTTTGTGATGTGCTTTTGGAATATTTGAGGAAACATTTGAACGATCGGTCGTGTAATTTATGCATTGCATAACACCACAACTGTAAACGTCACGAGAGGGCCGACGATGATTCCACTCGGTCCTGCATAAGCTGCATGTGGTTGTAATTCTTTGTGTAGGCGTGTTCTAAAGGGATTTGCTAAGTGTTGCGATGAAAATAAACACAATGAGCCAGATACACGTGGTTGTCAAAATAGACTTTCCGAATAATAGTACAATTTAAAAAAATAATGATTTGGGCCGTTTTAGAAGGAATAAAGGTACTTTACCAGCAGCACGTGACTTAAGGACACATCTATTGTATATTTTTTATTACGAGAATCAACGTGAACTTTTGCCAGATAACAGATTCACGTCAGAGATGTGCGAGTACAAACGAATTATGGAACAGACTAAGGATCCCAGGTCTCTTGAGTTTCATTTCAAATCTGACGGCCATTTTATCCTTGTGAAGGGAATCAGTTACCAAGTGCATACACATTGCGTTGTATTTAACTTGTGTTTCGCTTTTGAATCAGTGGAGCAAGCCAACTCTACTGGCCAAACCGAAGTGCCTGAGCAATGAGACAAGGTTTTATAGGGGGAATGAGGCAGTGTCATGTAACAAGACCAGTAGCATCCTTGCCATTTTATTTGTAAACTAATATCAACTGCGGAAATACAAGTCCAAGAATACTTTATGATTTTACTTAAAATAATAAATTTCAAATTCCATAACGTATGCTCGACATGAGCAATGCATCTATGAAAATCACAAACACAAAATTGTCTGAATAATTTTCTCTTGTTGACTAGATATATATATCATTTGTTGGTTAATTTTATCAAAATGTATTCCCAATTGTCATATCAGCGCCACATGTCATGTGACAAATAATCTGTTGGGAAATCTCAGGATGTTGCCCTTGTTGGAGAATTGCTGCAGAAGAGTTTTCAGAAGTGATCTCTTTTATCCTTTACACAGTAGGGGTCACACTTTCTCTCCACTTTTCTGTAAGATTGTTCATCTTGCAACAGTTAAACGAATAAATTTGTAATAGTCAGAGCTGGATTTTAGCGTAATTAAGTTCAAAAGCAAATGTTACGTGATGGGTTCTTAAAAAATAAATGTGAAACAACATTTTTTTTCATCATTAGACCTCCTTTGCCAGTACCAAAATGTAATAATGGGGTTTTTCCCCTTTTTTCTGGCAACAAAACTGAAACCATTTTACAAGGATTCATGTCTGCATTAACCACAATACCTGCAATCAAAATGCAAACAAAAAACATATATGATAATATATGCATTGTCCTTGAAACTGATTGGTCCACACCAAGGGACGGCTTTCTTTTGAGCCTTGACCCAATTGGTGCTCGAATTGGTGCTCGACCACATGACGCCATAAGGCGTCATGTGGTCGAGCATCAATTGTGGTTAATGCAGACATGAATCCTTCTAAAAAGGTTTCAGTTTTGTTGCCATAAAAAAGGGGGAAAACCTTATTATAACATATTTTTTATTTGACACTTTTCATAGAAAGATCACAAAGCGCAGTACATGTTTAAAATTGCAACGCTCAATACAAGAAAAATGTGCCACACAAGACTAAACAGATTGCACCAAGTTCCTTGGCATTTGTTTAGCCATCGTTGACTGACCTGGCTCCCTCAACACCGCTAGACTTGAGAACCTGGTTGATTCACAGGCGGCTAAAACTCAGATTCGAGCCCAACATCTCAGTGGTGCTGGCTCAGCGCTCTATCCTCGGGGCCATTTGGCCGACCTCTTATTTATCAACTTAAAAAATAATACTTCAAAGGGCTTTTCTCAATGCCAAAGAATGCAACATTAAAAATGAAATTCAATATTGACAGAATACTCATCTATTAAACATGGCGCTTTGTATATTCAGATAATTGTGAATAATGGATGTTGTTAAACATTTATTAGTTCTATTTTTATAGAAATACCCTACATTTTTACAGCCGAAGTAGAATAAATTGTGTTGACTCGGGGAAAATATTGCCCTTTGATGTGTGACTATAATCTTCATTATGGTTTGCCAAACTGAGGTTGCCAAAGGTGGGTGTAAACATGATCCGCATTGTAACAACAACCTAACACTGCCCTTGTCCATGTTAAACACGCGTGTGGCACCACTTATGGGCTATGAACCTCATAACACTGCTGTGTTAACATTTATTGTTATTTTGTGATTGTAACATTAATTTACACCACAGCATTCGTGTAACAATCAGATTGCTACAACAACAACAACAAATATATCTCAAAACGTTTCACAAATTCCGCATGCTGCAATGCAGCCTCTTCATAGGACAGTGAAGAGGCTGCCCTATGAAGAGGCTGCGTTCAGGACAGATGGGTGACCATCATGCATAATATATTTTGTGGTAGGCTGCTACTGCTGTGAGGCTACATCATGGGCGAGCCAAGGTCAGTGCAGCAAAATCCATTGTACTGTACTACGTTCCTACGGCCACCATTCCCCACCATCGCCAACCTGCTCTGTTCAGCGCGGTGATCTACGGTCAAATAGTCCTGCGACCCACGTAAAGTGGGGAGGCCCTCGTCCAACGGTTGATTGACATTAGTACCCAAAAAATATATAAACCAGCGGTGTAGCTATTGAGTCAGGAGGAATCCGATGAGCTATGAAGATCTTTTCACAGATGTCCAGAGTGCCGGGCGGTGTGGCTGCACCAAGGCCCGTAGGCCTCAGGGGCCGCAGTAACGAGCTATGAAGCATGGGGAAGGCGGCTGGGAGGCCCTGTTTCATTCCTCCCTGACCACGGAGCCGCGTTACACCCAGCAAATAAACCGAAAAATCTCAAGAGGCTTGTCCCGACTGAAAGCCATGATGCCTAGACACAGTAAAAGGCCCTTATCCTGATCGCCCTTACAACCATCTCCAGGAAAACGGGGCCCAAACGATACTATGTATCCAGTCTGACCTCGGCTATGCGCAGATAAACAACATGAGAGCATTTCCTGATGTGACATTGACGCCAGTGTCGTGGGACCGGGCCGCGGTATTGCTTATCTCGCTGCCTGCAGAGGCGTTTTGTTTATTGATATGAATGAAACAAATTCGAGTCCCTGCATGTTGCAGCATTAATGTGACACGGTGTGGAGCAATCTGGAGATACATGCCACCGGCGGATCATTGAAGATGATCAGAGGGCAACTTCTGTTATCTTCTAACGCCGTTATCTGCGGCCTCGCTCCGCCACTTCAGCAAGGACAACAGGAGTAGTGCCATACTGAAAACACTTTTTGCTTACGTGATTGAGCACCTTATGAATGAAAGATATTTCAAAAAAATTACAAAGGGTGACAAAACCTACTTTGGAAGACACTGCGATCGGCCTCTTATCCACATCAACATCATTAGCCACAATAATCCACTGCTGGATTTAAGACCTCACCAACCAGTTCAATCAATGCATACACATCGGGAACGTGGACAATAATGGAGATGGAACAAAAGCTCAAAAGTGTAAATACTTGGGATTACACTGAGGGGCAGAGGGTGGACGACGTGGGTTAGAGAAAAAAGACAATTCAAGCGACATCAATTTGACTCGAGAAACGTAAGTGGGCTTGCGTAGGACATATTGCTAGATTGGATGATGGCACATCGATGGTAGTGGCTACCAAAAGGAGGGAACGCACCCGAGAAGACAATCCCCTTGGAGATTGAGCGATGGGAGCAGCTCGCGCTTCGGAATGAGCTGCTTTGTAGCATCATAGAATCTGAAGGGATATCGTAGACATGCAAAGACCTAATGATGATGAATTATTCCAGGAGCAAAAGGGTTAAAGAAGTGATGGATCTGAGATATATACAGTATGTTTTATTGTTCAGGTGTGAAAATTTGCGTGATGTAAAGGAAGAATAGCTCACGGTCAAGAGTTTAGGTTGTAAATTAACTTTAAGAAATGTTGAGAGTTCGTGAGTGGAATCTTCACTGGGGACAGACTTTTTACGAATACAGAAGACTTCAGTTTTTGGAATGTTGCGATGGACGAAATTGGGGACTAAGCCAAGAGGAGGGAGCGCCGAAACGGGGAGAGAGAAAAGAGAGTGAGGTGGGGTCAGCCAAATCGAAGACCACGGAGTGCCAATCACTTTGATGTGGTGGTCAATAACGAAGCCGTACATTCAGGGTCACAAAGCATGAAGATAGAAATTGAGAAGAGCGGAGAGCCGAGGTGTGTGACCGTTGCAGAACACTTCAAAAACAACAACAAAAACTGTTTTTGAAGGAGTTGCAGATGTTGATTGGGTCACAGGGAAAGGAGTTGGTTGTGAAATAGCGCAGAGGATAGGTATGAAACGGGTTTGTTGAGGACACACGGTTGAGCTGAGGAGAGTGACCGAGGAGAGCCGCAGCTGAACCAGCCGAGCTCGG